AATGAAGAGTGGCCCCAAACTTTTTGTGTAGATAGATAGATAGATAATGGACAAGGAACATCTTGTAAAATTGAATTTTTCCTTGCAGGAAATGTAGATCATGTAGAGAAATTATCCATATCTTTTGATTTCACTTTTAGCTGACTTTCATGGTAACGATGATTAATATATTTTTGTTTGTTTTCTACACTGTTTATAACAACATCAATAATATTGATTATTATACTGATTTTAAGCACTTCCAGTACCACTAGGGAATGCTGGGAGCAAAACAGATCCAGTGGCAGTTTTGAATGAAGTTGTTGAGTTTTACCACAGCTCATGTTGTCTTTGCATTGTTTCAAATTTCCAGTGGCCACTCTCATGTAATTTATCTTTACACCACCTTAAGTCCATTGGAACATGGTGTCAGAGGGATTCTTTCTTAAGTTCAAATTAACTCCACCAAAACCATTTTAGTTTCCAAATCTGGGAAATTGGTAGAAATGGTCGCAGAGATTTCAACACTTGAGAATCATTGAAACACTGGGAAGAAGATAACAAAACTCAAGTTAGTACATTAGTATGGGAAGTGAAACCAAAAATATATTCTGGACATTTTCTTTCTCATAATGACGCGAATGTGTACAAGTCAGTCTTGGAAAAATTTAATACTGACAAGAAATACAATTAATGAAAGGGCAAAATTTTATCAAGTTCAATTACCAGGAGAACCAGTAGAAATCTTTATTTGAGTATTGCACAAATAAGCAGAAGCATGTGGGTTTCCAAAGAAAAATGACTAAATCAGAGATCATTTTGTGATAGGACTACAGAATAAGAACTTATCCAAAAGATTACAACTAATTCCTGATTTGCAACACAAGAAAGCTACAGAAATGGCCAGGAGCAGTGAGCAAATAAAATCTCAAATGGAAGAAATATGTGAGAAAAATGTAGATGAAATAAAGACCAAGAAAAAATACAAAATTAAAAAGAAAAAGTGGAAACAACAACTGCAGTAGATTTAACAGAAAACAGGATTTTGAAAACTGTCCAATAAAAGGGAAGCACTGCAAGAAATGCAGAAAAATTAATCATTTCACTCTTGCTTGCAGAACTAAAACTAATTTTATGATACAGACAGAAATATTTCCTAGGAGAGCTAACAGAAACAGATGACCCGTGGCATAAAAATTTGTAAAACAGCAGTGAGGTTTAAAATCAACATAGGTGCTGACATAAACATTATTATTATTAGCACTGAAAAGGGAACATTACATGTTATCAAATTTCATCTAAACTAAGTGGAGCTAAATTTTTTTCTATATTATTATATGTTACCACCAGATCCTACCAAATTCCATTAAGTAAAGAAAGCTATCTACTCATGACTTTCATTACTCCTTTTGGGAGTATTTCCAATTATTTTATTATTAAAATAAAACAGAAAAAAAAAAATCTTTCAAAAAAGGAAATTATTACTTTTCTAATTTTTTTTAAAAACAATAACAAAATTTGGATTAAGCAAAGATTTTTTTTTATTTCAAAAAGAACAATAGACAAAAGATAAATTATTATAAAACTGTTTTATGAACAGCTGATAGCTTTAATAGAGTTTGTATTATTGAAAATATATTGTAAGATTGAGAACAGGAAGGAAAAGTGACAATCTATTTTTTAACAAATTATTTCAGTCACTAAATGCTCCAGGCTAAATAAATCTCATTTCAAATATAACATGTAATAATTCTATATTTAATTTATTGGCTTATTGTAAATATAAAACATTGCAAGAAACAATCTCAGCTAATTACAACTGAGTTAAGAGTTTTAATGCTCATAAATTTACAATACATATTTACATTATTTCAGTTGTTTAATATTTTCAGTATTAAATTAGATAAAAAAAAAAAAAAAGAAAGAAAAAGCATTGCTTGTCAGATATCATTACCACTACGAAATTTGACTATTCAACAGAAGTAAAAGCAAACTGTTTAATGAAACTAATGAAATATTTTGTAATGGCAAAACTGATACAAATTTTTATTTAAAAGAAACCAAAAGAAATAGAAACCACCTTTTTTTTCTAACAGAATTTCATTTTAATGCAACAAATATAAAATTAAGTTTAATGAACTATTCTTAGATGGAATGAACAATTATGGTTTTTCATTACTGAGAACAGCTTAAATATGAAACAAGATGAGTTTTTAGAAATTTAGTACTAATATAGTCTATTGATTTCCTAAATTTTTTTTTCAAATTAATGTATAGCAAAATAAAGAGCTTTTGGGATATTTAGAAATATGTTTGATCCTTTGTTTTTATTATTTGATTGAGTGAAACAAATATTTCTAAATTAAATTATCTTGCAGGATATTCAATTTGAATGAATGTAATGTATTTATTTATATAACAATTTGTTAATATATTTAATATACATCAGATACATTTTTCATGGTTGAAAAATATTTTTTTAGAAATACTTATATACATGTAGGATGTGATGCAGAAAAAGTTTTTTTTTTTTTATACAAAATGTCAAAATATATATATTTTTAAAAAATTTATCACTCACAATATTTTATATTTTCAAAAACTGATATATCATATGAAATATTGTTTAATGCAATAGATTTACTTACCTTATTTACTTATTCCATATTCTAAAATCAATACATATTTATTAGATTAATGTTTAAGAGTGTTTAAATTGTCAGAGCCTTTGTTGAAATACAAGTTTCAAGCAAGAATTGTTAGTCTGTAGAGTGAAGCATTTTTATGACTTATAGCATGAGGAGAGTGCAAATTAAAGAAAAAAGTAGTAATTTGTTTAGTTGCAACATGTGGAAAAATTGCAGAAGATAGAGCAGAACATAAAAATAGGGGAAATTTACATTTTTAGCTCATGTATTAAAATATTGTTTGAGATGATAACAAGCTTGATAACAGTCGAGACTTGTAAAGTTAACACCACCAGGAATTTGTTCAATCTCTGATTTTTACATTAATTCATTAGCCATTTATTATAATAAATTCATTATCAGGCAAATTTAGTTTTGTTGTTTTTTGTACTATGCTGATATAGAGTAAAAAAATGTACAACTTTCATTTTCAGAAATTAAGGTTTTGGGTCAGATTTTCTATTAAGATTGGATATAAAATAAATAACACAAGTAATAAAACTTTATCTGTCTATATAAAATTTTGAACATTAAAATGAAGAACAGTTAATATATAAATTAGATTGTATTATATTTCCTGTCACGTAATATGCACCTATAATTAGGTAAGGAATATTCAAGAAAAAAAACAATAACATTCAACTGATGATTCCTCCATACTTATATGATTTTTTATAGTTTAACATTATTTTGATTTGTAAAGATCATCTAATTATTCATAATATAAATTTAATTCTGGAATCATGGGGGCAGAGAGTTGAGTGTGAAACAGGAGTTTTTAGCAATTAGTCTGACATTTATAATCTAACAATCATGATGATAAGTGTACCTTATATGGCAAGAAATATGGTAATTGCTTTTTATTTTTATAATCTCAAGATACTCCATAATTTTAAAAATAGATAAATATTTTCCAGGAGACTGATATACTTTACCATGTCATCACTGAATTTGTTTTTGCAATATAAGGCTCATCTGAGGCAGTGAATTATTAATATTCTGTTTTCAGTTAAATGGGACTAAGATATTAAGCATACATAATGATTATCATTGTATACAAAACTAAAAATATATTTAAGAATAAATAATTTACTTAAATTCATATTTTCAAAGAGTAAAAATAAAACTGTTTTCATTTCATAAAACAATTAAAATAGTTTTATTTCTAATTTTAAAATTTGATCTTTCAGAAAATAAAAATATTTTAAAGCTATAAATTTATATACTCAGTCAAATTAAATAGCTGGAATGTTTCCAGTTTAAAATGTTGTCAGTTAAGAATATAAGGAAAGATTCAGTAATTATAATAGGATCTTACTAAATATAATGCAGTTTGTTCAAATTAATTAAACATTGTCCATCAATGCATTTAAGAATATATAAGAAATATTTAGATAAGTGTGTGTGTGTGTGTGTGTGTGTGTGTGCATAAACTTGTAATTTCTGATACCAAATTTTAATATGACTTGGCAGAATATAATAATTTATTTTTGCTGATAAAATGATTGATGCTTAAAATAAATTAATGGTGTATCATTTATAAATTAAAACATACTAACCATTAGAAAATGAAATAAATTTACATGTCAAACTGAAGTATATAAAACTTATTTTATTGTTAATTCACCAAAAAGTGAAGCTGTAAATAAAAGAAAAAATATCAGTGAATGATGAGAAACCCAAGCAGCTAAAAGATTGACTTATCAAAAACTGGAAACAAATGAAAATATTTCTGCTACTTAATTCCGTTTCACATAAATTTTCATGACTCGATTTGATTATTCAGTATTTTATAGATGCAATGTTGAGAACATTTTTGCGTTAATTGGTGAAACTATAAGATTATTGGTGTTTGAAAACATTAGACAATTGCATAACTAATGCATGCATTATTTTGTTCAGTTACTCATAAGTAGAGACTAAAAGTTTTGTTACATAAAAAAAAAAAAAAAAAAACTACAATTTTGGTCATTACAGAAGATAAAATGAAGATTTTACTTGCAATTAAAATTTGGGTTTGATGTCTCTTTGTAAAATGATTCACTTCAATAATTAACATTAAAATTGATATTCAAATACACGATTGAAAAATAATTATCAGTTATTGATTTTTTTTTTTCTTTTGCATTTATATATTTTTTTTCTAAAATAATATTTTGCAATAATTTATAAACAATTATACTTTGTTAACTTGATTTTTTTTTCTTTTGGGTATTCTACGAATGAATTTTTAATTCTGGAAAAAAATTTTAAAAATAAAAAAGAATTATATTCATGAAATCACAATAATTGTAATCTCATTTCCCATTGATTTCCTAAGGAACAATTGATCATTTATTTAGCTGCTACCTTGTTCTCAAGAGACTTTTTGCGTTTGACATCTGGATACTGGACAGAGAGAGGTACACAGCTTAGCAATAAAATATGACGCTGGTATGCTGCACTGGAACGGAATAAGTTATCTGTTCCATGGAGACGATCAAGAAAACCAAGGACACCAAAGTTCTGGGTGAATCTGAAATTTAAAATATATTTTTTTCAGATGGCAGTACATTAAATATAATACCAATACATATAAGAATAGCTAAGATTAACAAATAATTTATACCACTCTCACTGGTGCAATACAATGTTTGTTTACATACATAAGTGGCTATCATGCACACATACACTTGTTTTAATACGTTTAACAAAATGTTTTGAAAAGTCTAGTGGCATTTACTGGTAATATGTGACTTTTCTAAAGCATTTTCCCCCCACTTAGTAAAGATGACAATCACAGCATTAATGTTATTATCGAGAGTATTTGAATTTTCCTTTCTTCACATTTTGCCAAATCTCGAGTTTTGTCAATCAATTGTAGCTCTTATTTCTTCTCTCAGACATTTTTGGCTTAAAACTGGTTTCATTTTGGTTTTTATTTTTCATGCTAGTTCAAACTTTCATGAAAGATTTCTTTTTGTACATATTTAGGCATCTATTTCAGATCTCTATGCAACAAGCGGTCTAATTTTATAGCTGCAAACATCCTCATGTTTGTGACATTCAAATATTCAACTTGCCACTGTTTAAATTATAGGAAGAACAAGATTTTCACATTTTTATTAAAAAAAAAAAAAAAAAAAAAAAAAAAATCAAAGAAAAAAAATTATCTGGAATCCTTGTCAAAATTAAATTAAGTACAAAAAATAAATTTCAAGAATTCAGTGTCTTGTCTTGCTTAAATAGGCTGTATATCATTAAATTTATTACTTATTTTACGATTCCATCAGGAGAAATAATGTGAAAATTTTTCCTTAATATCACAATTATTGTAATTGTTTCTGTACTGGCATTTTGTATCTAAGTTTTTTTAGTTTATTTAAAAAGTGAAAATATTCTTAACCTCAACTGATGCAAATGCTAAAACTGAATGACAGTATCTGTTGTACTTGGTAACATTGAAATTTTAAACTGAACCCTTTATTCAATCTATGGAGTGGATTCTTCTCATTCTGCTTTCCATAGGGGTTATCTCATATCATATTTACCTTTGAGTTTCTTGTTCATTTCTTTCATTGAATCACAGTAAATGACTTTTCTGTACTACCCAATCCATAGAGTGAACTCACAACTACAAGAGCACAAGACATATTTTATCCATGGGGCTATCTCTCTTGGATAATCATTTTTGAGCTGTAAACCTAATTTCTGTACTCAGTGGAATGTTTTTCAGTGTTCTTTCTTAGAAGCTCTCAGATGGTGTTAATTTCTATGCTAGATCTACTTAAGAGATTGTCAGGGCTTAACACAATTGTTTCAGTTATCAATGTTGTTCTCTGTCTATTATCTTCACTTCATTCCACATGAGTTGATAATCCTGGGCAAGTGACATAAAGGCAAGCAGACCAGTGAATATTAACTAATATGTTTGAAGCATAGGAATCAGAATGAGGACAATCTACAGGATTAGATTGATTAAAAGGTTTGGTGCAAATGTTAAGAAAGTTACCACACATGATAGACACCTAAAGAAGGCTGGAGTATAACAACTAAAATATTTATACTAGTTTGAATACCAAAGGCATATAGTAAGTGGATATATCTGTACCATCAATTAAGCAATCAATGAAGTAAACTTACTTGAGATGATGGAAATCATGGGCTTCTGGAGAAGGCAGAAATGGGAAATGATAGCCACTATGAGCCACAGTTGTTGACAAAAGAACCAAAGCAAACCACAGCCAAGCTGTAGCCAGATGAGATCCCATGAGAATGGGCCCTATAATAGGTGGTAGCATATTACTGACTAAATGTTCAATTGGATGGGCATACAGTGCTACAAGTCCTACAGGGGCTGTCCATTCATGGTGAATTTTGTGGATATGTTTGTATAGTGATGGATGATGCAAAATCCTAAAGAAAAAAGAAAAATACAAGATATTTTCAGATGATTTTCTGGAATACAATTTGTTTTATTTCATTTGAATGGATCCATTAATTGTAAAAAACATATCAACTGGACAAATAAAAAGGTAAGAAAGAAAATGTATAGAAAAATTCCATATAAAAAGAATTTCAAAACTGTTCATGTCAAATCTTACATCATATCTTATTTTAAAGAAAAACTAATACAATATATTTTTTTCTTAGGCAAAAATATTTTTTGTTTGCATTTTCATTTATTTTTGTTCATTTTCATCTAAATATTACATTGTTCACTATCTATTTTTAACTGATTCTTGTTGATTATTCAAGTAAAGATTACATTTAACTTTATTTTTAATAGATTTTTGTCATAAAGATGGAAAATATGAACTTGTGATCATGTTTTATTGTAGTAGAGAATGCTGAAAAGCTTTTAGCCAACTCATTTCTCAAAATTTAACCAGATAACTATAAAATAATTTTTTTAGGACTTTTTGATCAGGCTGAGAACTTACTTTTCTGCACTACCGTGTACAAGATGGGTCATAATATAGTTGAAGTTGTTAAAAATGTTCTTTGTGCATAATCAATAAGATTTGGACTGCAACAATTTATCAGTGGAGATTTCAGTTTAGAAAAACAGAAGAAAGGTCAGCTAAAAGCAATAATAATTTGATAGCTGTTGTGATATACAAGATCTAAAAGCCTACACAAAGACTTTGTATAATAACCAAAGATCTGTACTATGGCTGGATATAGAGGAAAAGCTCAAACATCAAATAAAATCACAGTATCACTCCTGTAAGTTTACGGTTAGTGTATAGACCATAATTCCCTTCAAAGTGGCCAAACAATGCCCATAGACATGGATATCTGTTTGAAAACTCAATCAAATTATAATATCTAGTGTCATTTTGTTTGACTTCACATTAAAAAACAGCATTAATAAAGTTGAATTAGTTCCAGGCAAAGTTTTTAATGCGCACTGCCTATTACCCCAACCTCTCTCTCTCTCTCTCTCTCTCTGCTGGATGAAAAATCTTTTCAAGCATTTTCATTACTTACTTCCAAGAAAGAACTTCATATGCTCAGTCTAATTCAAAAACAAATAAACTGTCTTCTTTGTTTTATAACTGACAAGTTACCATTAGCTAGTATTTCAAAAACAATTTGCACCAAATTTTACCCTACAGATTACATTTTTCTTTTTTTAATCAACAAGATGTATTGATCAAAAGTTTCAATGCCCTTCCTGAGCTGAGAGATTAATCAGAGATAAATCATTTTAAATTCTTTCTATGTAGAAACCTTTTTAGTAATTTCATATGTATACAATTTGGGCATTTGTAATTATAAACTATATTTGACTTTCTGTCTGAATTTTTGAGATTTTATATTATTCATATTTGCACTAATGCCTTCATCAGGGATCAGGATGTACAGTCAGTAGAGTACTGTTGCAGTGAAGTGGTTGACCCTGTTTTACTCAGGTGAATTGAGATCCAGAAATGTACTGGTCCATGGCCTACATTCAACTCATCCATGGCTCCAGGAAGTTGCATGGACACTGCATTGACCACACCCTGGTTAATGACATCGACCAGCTAGCTAAACTGTTTGAGGGTAGTCAGAAGGGTTTTTTCCAACCTCACCAGTGAAGAGGAATGCCTCTCCCCAACCCACCTGTGCCAAGTGGCCACCAGCTAATTGCCAGCCTGGACATAGGTACTGCACCTTAGAGGTCAACAGCTTTACCAGCAAGCAGTGAGACTTCTGAGAAGAGGGACAAGGTAACCTCAACACCCCGGTGAAAAAGGAACTGGCAAGCTATTGCATTATTTTACCTGAATGTCACTATGAACCACAATTACCACAAAGGGTTGTGGTTACCACAGCAGCCCAAATAATAAATGATGATGAATGTCCACATTTTTATCACAACATTTTGGCTGTCATGCCATCTAGCTTTCTTCAGGTGTCTGTTGATCCAGGTAAGCTTCAAGGAATTTCAAGCTGAACCCATTATTCAATCTATGTGGAAGGCAATACACAAGAAAGAGAAACAGTGGTAGAAGTAGCCAAGATTGACAAGGCTGCAGCAGCAGAGGAATTAAGAAAACAATTAGGTTAAAATTAAAGATTGTCTCATGCAATAATGATTTAAAGGATTAAAGATTGATTACTGAATTTGGTAACATAGTAATTTTGTGTTCAATCCATTCAGACTTTGAAAACTGAACAATTAACTAATATGCAATATATACAAATATAGACTATGAAATGAGAACAATCTACACCAATGGTTTGATTAAATGGTTCATTTAAAATTCCCCAAAGGTTAGTCAGATCAATGAACACCTAAAGAAAGTGAGAAAGCACAATGGCTGAAATGTTTATTTGACTTTGCTTTACACAAATATTTGTTCCAGTTAATGACTTGTAATGGAAATTTTTTCCTATTTTCATTTAAAATAATTTTTATTACAAAACAGAATTTTACCTAATGTTTGTGCAATTTCCATTAATTTTTTCTTGTAAATTACTTTTGCATCTATTACTTGTCAATTCTTTATTAACAAATTTTATTACTGAATTTAAAAGCCCCCATTGTTTCCCTAAATACTTGATTTCTTTAGTTGGAGTCAGAACAAAGTTTTTATCAAGTAATAAATTTTTAATATTTTTATTGGTTCAAAATTAATAAGGATTTTTGTTCGGAGATTATCTTTCATATTACTACTTACATTAAATTAAAATTAACCCTCCTCAAAATCTTTACAAATCTTTTTTGTTCAGGATCAAACTGAATTTATTTTTTCTTTGAATATATAAATTCCTTTCTAAAAGGAATTATAACTTGTTGCCAAGAAGGAATAAATATACAGAACATGGGAGCTAGCAGGGTGGTTGTTTATTTTGTTTAAAATTCATCTTCAGTTTTATGCTGAACATTCTGATATAGGTAAATGCTGAAGTTCTTTAAATTTATTGCAAATAATCAAGTGCTTACATCTTTTATAAAGACAGAAAATAGTTATTCTTACAAAGGATTTATTTTGTAAGTAAATGTAAATTAAAACTGTTTCAATTTAATGCCCTTTTACACAAAAGACCAAACATTAAACTGAGATTATTAGATTAACTGATAAAAATATTAAAAAAATTTTAGAAAGCAATTCATTTTGACCTGATATTTAGATAGCGGTTAAAAAAAAAAAAAAAACAAACAAATGGATCCCATTTTGAAATAAAACTTTCTAGCAAAAATATTTTTTCAATAATACCAACAAATTAATGTAGAAATGTTTTGTGATGTGAAGAACAAATGTCTCACTAGAGCTGTTGGTCATTGGGTGTGGATATATCTTGTCAATTTGTTTGTAAGAAATAAGTAGTTTCCAAAAATGTCTGCTGTAAAAGTTCATGGTTCAGTGAGGGCATTCTTTGCAACTTAAAGGAATTGCCTTGAGGGTACCAAGGATGTATTTAACTGTTAGTTGGACATTAAACACAGAATTAAGTTCTGTTGTCATACTGCTCTGATTATCCACCAGCCATGTTTTCTTTTACTTTTTCATTAATTATACAAATTATTCCTTCAGTTTTTTTCTTTGTTTATCTGGTCATTGACTTTTTCTGAACTGCATACTTAGTAAGGATATGAATGAATGGAATGTTGAGATTAGAAATATTGGCTTTAAGACTAATACTCATCCTGTTGTAATCAGATGTTGGTTAACTTTGGTAAATCTGACCAATCTGATTGATATCAAAGGAAATACGCATAAAGTTTGCACCTGGTACTCCCACAATGTGACCAAAACCCAACAAAGCCTAGTGGTATTGCAAGGTACTGCTGGAGTACTTTGGGTTAGCATTATGATGCTGTAGCTCTGAAACCATATCTGAACCTAGTGTCAGCATCTGATGAGACACTGTTGTTGCCCTGCTAGTCATATGAACTTATATATTAAAAATATAAACTGAACATTGTATGTTACTGCATTCCATAAATGAAAAAATATTATAAAAGTATTTGTTTTGGTTTTTATAAAGAAATGGTACAAATATTATTTCATAGTTGAATTATTATATTTATTTAATAGGCACTATTGCTTTTAGCTGTAATAATTGTTTAAAAATGACCTTTTTAAAAAATATCAGTTTTAGATGTCACATTTGTGCTGAAAATTTCCTCAAATCTAACCAAAATTGAATTTTCTATCTTGTAACAACATTTCCAAACCAATCACAAAATGTTTCAATAGAAATTTAAGAATGAATAATGTTACCTGTGTGAATAATAGAAGCCTACTTCTTCAATGAGAGTGAAAATAGTAATCTCGAGAAGAACCCACTGGAATGTGGGCAAGTCTCCATTGGTTGGACAACCTCTCCATTTCATCAAATAAAAGCTAACAAAACTCATTGGCAGACCAACAATAATTTGATTGAACAAAACTCGATGATAAATTTTTTTCAAATCTTTCAAAGAAAGCTGAAAAATAAAATGAAAATAAATAAAATATTTGTTTTGAAGGTAAAAGCTTTTATAGACTTGTGCATATAACTGAAGAAAACCTAGAACTAATATTTCGTTTTATTCAAATTCTTATCACTTTATTTCCAGTTCATTAAATTTTATTCATTTAAAAATGTTTTATCAACTTACAGGACAGTTCTTGTCTGGTTGCACTTTATAATTAAGAAGAAATGAAGGTGTTCCAGTGACATCCAAGAAAATCAGGAAACTGTTTGCCAACCAAAAAACAATAATTGTGAAGAAGGTAGTTGCTGTAAAAGAGAATTTTTCACAAACAGAATGGATAAATGTTGGAAATAAAAACAAGTTGTATAAATTCTCTGGAAACAGATTGAATCTTTAACAATTAGTATTGGATATTTCTATTTTTCTGGATAATAAACCATTTTCTTGTAGTGAGTGTGAAATAATAATTCCCTTCACCCACACCCTTCAAATTTGGAGGACTGAGGAAGAAGGTGAAAAGGATTTCACAAGACTATGTGAAATTTTCTTTGAAATCTTGCCTTCACAAAAATTAGCTAGTCAGCCAAGAAGGAAAGAAAATAGTGAGCCTATGCAAAATTCTTTTTGATATAAAATGAAGAGAAAAATTAAATTAATCAGTGTCTGAAGTCATACGAAATGTTTTGCTTCAATTCCTCCTGACCAGCATCGAAGTTCTTGCCAATATAAACTATTATCAGCCTCTAACTAGCATGTAGCACTTCAAAGAATTTTCCTGCAACAATCCAAGAAAGCTAAGTATTTCAAACTCTCTTCATCAACTTTTGAACATATGCAAACCATATATTCCTTTGGTGAGCATTGAACATTTCCTCTTTATGATAATATTTTAAAACTACAGACTTTAAGAATTCTAATTTATTTTCCTGGAATGAGCTACTGACATTACTTCAGGCATGTAAATTCATGAATAAATTCCTTATTTTGTTTCGTTAAAATTACCCAAGTGTTTTCTCATTATCATCCTTCATTAATCTTCTTGGTATGGGTAAAGTCAACTGTTCATTTTTAGCCCCTAAGTCCCGTGCAACTATATTCTACAATGTATTAATGACATCACTGTTTAGAAAAGTTAAGCTTTGATCATGTTTTGAATAAAAGATTTGTTTTGTCACATAATCAAATTAAAATTTATATTCAATTACATTTTTTAATGAACATCTTTTGAGTATAATTAAATAAAAGATCTTATTCTATATCACATTTAAAGCTTTAATTTTTATTAATAATGATAGAAGCATTAGTGAACAGTATTTTGTGGTATATAACCTAAAAATTTTAAGTAGATGAATGAAGTGACTTTCCTAAGAGGTGAACTGATTTTAAGCCATTTCTCAACCTCAGTAGATGGAATTATATTAAATCCTTTTGATATATGTTACAGCTTTTAAAATATACAAGCATAAATATCCCAAACATTAACTATTAGGAAATTGATTGAGAAAAAACAAGTACATTAGCTTCAAGAATCTTTTAGGATTAAATAATGTAGGTGCTTTGAAGATTTTGTGTATTGGATACCTAGTTGGAGTTCTTTGATATCACAATATTAATTTAAAGATACTATTCAGAGACTGAATTTAGAATATCAACAATCTTCTTCTGAAACAAATGAAGTGGGTAGGTATACATCTCATTAAAAAGTTTTTAAAATGTTCATGGTTTTCTTATAAATGATGAATGGAACACTGAAAATCTTGATTTTAAAATCAAGATTTTCAGTGTTCCATTCAATCAATAAATATTTGCAAAAAATTAACATATTGCACTTTAAGCATTTTAGAAGATTTTCATACATTTGAAAGATTCTACAAAATTAATAACAAATAGAGAAATATAATTTTCTATCATTTGAAAACCTTTATTAGGCTTAAATTTTCTACTGACAAAAGTTTATAATGTTAAAGTTGTTAAACTGTTAAGAAATTGGCCTACTTATCAATCTATTATAGGCAATCATAAAAATACCTACCAAATACACCAACAATGAAATCATCTTCATAGCAAAGTAAGTAAATGTTGTTCCAAGTTCTTTGCCAGAAATCACCAGAAGCCCCCCAAAAGCGTTGCATGTGCCTAAAATGAAAACATTAATGTTTGATGAAAGTTATTTTTTATATTATATAAAAAAAAAAAAAAAAAAAAAGAAAAAGAAAAGTAAAACTAATTTTCTTTCCTGAGGAACGCTTATCATTACCAACCTCCACACCTCGAGTTTGACATACCCTTCCACATGCTGTTGCTGCATGACAGAGGTTTGCTGTCAACATTCCTTTCCACCTATAGATCTGAATGTGGGCTGAAAAGTTCATAGGCTGAATATAAAGGAGTGATGCCAGAGCTGTAAAATCTTGCATGCATTAATTTCATCTTAACTTATTGTTTCTTTCCAGGTAAATTGACATTTGACTGTTCAAAGACTTCAAATGTAACTAGTAGAGACTTCTCTTGAAAATGGACAAAATTTGGCATTGTGGTGTTATCAAGTAACTGCAGAAAAGGGTTTAGCCCCCAAGGATATTCCGGCTGACATGGTTGCCACATTAGGGGATAACAATCCAGCTTTATCAACAGTGCAAAAGTGAGCAGCTGAATTTAGGAGAGGAAGGGTGTTGAAGATGACCCAAAATCTGGATGTCCTGCAACTGCCACCACCAGAGAAAACATTGTGTTTATCACATGGTGATGGATAACAGGTAACTGACTATAGATCAAGTAGCCAATGCTATTAGCATATTCCATGAGAGAGTGGAGAACATTCTACACAATGAACTTGGCATGACAAAGATTTCTGCTTGGTGGGTGCTACATCTTCTGACACCTGATCAAAAGTGCACAAGGCTGAGCATATCATGGAAAAATCTGACATTGTTTGAGGCAGACTCAGCTAGTTTCCTAACCCAGGATGAGTGTTGAGTTCATCATGTTGAGCCAGAGACAAAAAGACAATCAATGCAGTGGAAACACTGCCTCCTCACATGTTCCAAAGAAGGCCAGGGTCATTTCGTCTGCAGGGAAAGTATCAGCTTCAGTTTTTTGGGATGCACAAGGCATTGCATTTATGGCTATCTTCAGAAGACCCACAGCATCAATGTAGAGCTGAGATAATTATGAAAAGCTATCAAGACCAAACACCCAGGAAAACTGTTGGAAGCAGTCTTGTTTCATCAAGACAATGTTCCAGCACACAAATGGCTGCTGTGCATGACTGTGGTGCTGAACTAGTTGATCATCCACCCTATTCTCCTGATTTGGTCCCATCTATCAGCTGTTACCTAACATGAAAAACCACTTGATTGGGAACCAGTAATGTAATTGCAGTGATGATGACATATCTGCTGTTGATGACTTTCAAAAACAGGTTGAAAGCATTTTACCAATGAGATCCAAGCACTGCAACACTAATGGAACAAATGTATTCGATGAGAGTATTTTGGCCAGCCCATAAACTTTTCAACCAACCCTTGTACTTAGCTCTACAAATTTTGCTATTACTTTGTATCACATCAGTTTCAGATTCATTACTTTACTCCCCTTGTGAAAGGTTTTACAGTAAATCCACTAATTGGAATTACACAGATGAAAGCAAAGTAATCCAAGCAAAGAACAAATATAGACTTAACCCACATTTGAAATTTCAGGTACAATAATGCTAGCAAGTGAGGAACACTTGTAATGCAATATCAATCTTACAATCTTCTTCATCTCCAGTTATGAAGGCACCTAGTTTAAAATATAGGAAACTTCCAGTTTTTAATACTCATGGCTCACTCACATGCATCAGTAGAATAGTAACAAACAGTATTTTCTCCCTTTTTTGGTCCATCAGAAATCTGATTTTCATAATAGCTGAATGAAAAAAGACCATCTGATTATCGCAAGTAACATTATTTTTTTTTTTTTATTCTTCTTTTCTTGATGTCAGCTTGAAATTTGAATGAAAGAATATTTTATTCAAAAGTTACTCACAATAGATCAGATTCTGGGTTTCTAGTTATAATGATTCTAAAACATAATTAATAGTCAATATTTACTCATGAAAAGAAAAATCTGTTTAGCTATTTTCTTTCTCTTAAAGAACTAATTTCTTAATAGAAGGTGTTTAAAATAACTGTAGTAAAGTTATTTATTTTCATAAAATAAGGCATTTATTTAATAAGAGTATCCATTTCTTTAATCTGTAAATATTTCATATGTGTAGGCTTCACCATATGTCCTAGTTCAACCAGTACATTCCTAGTTTGAGGGTATGGCCAAATAATTTTTTTTGTATCAGCCCTGAAGCTTAAGAGTTGCTGAGTTACAAAAATATTTTATTATACAAGAACAATAAAACTATAATAAAAATTGAAAACTATGTGAGTGAGGCTACAGAATTAAAATGTAATTATTAAAAAATCAACACAAAATGGTGCAACCATTTTTAATTTATTAATTATTTACCTTTTAAAAGAACTTACCAAGTAATTGTATTCCTGGCAGCAGCAAATATTAATAAAGCACTGCCAACTACAAAAGCAGCTTTCCTCAGTGAGTCTAGCAACTGCAAGAAGTTAATTTTTGCTTGACCATTGGCTACCTTTACACTTTTGCCAGAGTTATCCATTTTTTCAGCTTCATTCATTTTCCTTTAAAGAAACAAAATCACTTAAGTAGTTTCATAAAGTTGAAATATTCTTGTCAGTATTTTTAAAACCAAAATAACATCTGAAGAGGATGTCATTTTTATTGATAAGTATACATGAATACTTAAAATATATTTAATAATAAGCATAAAACAGTAAATTCGCAAGGACAAAGGCAATCATCTATATAATAAATGCAAGTGTCAGCGTGTCACTTTTTCAACTTTACTCCTAGAGGACATAGCCCAACATATCATACCATTTTGGAATCAGGCAGACAGTGAGCAAATTAAAAGCATTCTGGTCTGGATCTCCAATCTTGAAATTTTGTATTCCAAGTTTTTGGCAATTTTTTTCATGTGATTTTTTTTTTACGACAATTTTTATAACTTGGAAATAAATTTGGGACTAATCAAAATTAATTGCGAAATCCAGCAGAAGTCACCCATGAAATAAAAATAATTGTTTGTATGGTATGTTAGGACCTATGTACATCAAATTAAGTGGCAGCAGAAGAATTATTGTTGATTTTTTTAAATATTAATGCAATACTTAAATGCAGTGATCAATTTTAAGTTGTTCTGTAGTTTATTGTTGCCTATCACATCTACTCTTCCCTAACTATTGTGATGAAGGCCCAATCAAGAGCCCTCTGCAGGAGCTAGCTTAAATGCAGCCTGATAGGGTGGCTTTTAAGCTAGTTTATGATGATAGTGAGAATGACATCTGTATATGTATTTATACTTCCAAGATGCCTGGATTGATTTCAACCAAACTTATATATATTCCATGCATGGATCAAACTGCTACAACAAAATGTTTTAGAAAAAGTCAAGCCAGTTTTGATACTTACAAAAATGTTTTATTTTTAAGTATTGAATTATCTATAAACATTAAACATGCTAAAATAATGAAATTCTTTTTCTATAGTTTTGCTTTGAATTTTTCTACTACCCTCCATTCTCAATAAGAATAAAAAACATATCAATCAGTTTATATAAAAGCTACTGTCAAAATATAGTATATTTAAACATTTTTCTTTTATTTGAATAACTTTAACTAATTTAATCTAAATTAGTCTATTAAAACTATACAGCAACTAAATTTTAATTATGATGCGTCAAAGCATATAAAATGGTAACAAAAACTTAATATTTGCCAAGTTCAAATAGCAAGATTTGTCAGTTTTTAAATGTAATTCAATTAGATAGGAACATCCAGTTTTACAACTTGGTATTTAAAGAATTATATAAAAAAAATTTCATTCAGAATTAATAATTTATACAATTTCCTTATTTTCAATTTTCCCTTCAATTTTTCAGAAATTAAAAAAAAAAAAAAATAATAATCAAATTTGTGTTTTTGCAGTAATATATATGTTAATGTCATTCAGGGAGCATTTCTAGGAATTAGAACAATTTTCTGGTTATCATATCTTTGAAAAGTCATTTTTTCATCCATTTCTCCCAACAGTTTGAAAAGTTTTGAGCATTATGATCCCCTATTAAAATAATCCCTAACTTATTTTTAGATATCCTAGGAAGCTATTTCAGTGTAATCTTTTCAATCTGCAATATTGTCAACTAGAAACAAATTTTCTCACCCTATTCTCTTTTTTAAAATTCTTTGTGGCTAGCACTTCAATCTTTTCTCCCTGACCTTTTATTTACACTCACTGATTACAGAAGTAGCAAAGCAATGATTGATAAGGCAAAAAACCTACATCTCAACTGTTGTAGTGTTAAAAAAAAAAAAAAAAACACCACTCAAAAATCCATTGTAATTATTTTATTTTCCTGGTTTGAATCTTTCTGGACAAATTCTTTTTATGCAGACTTATGCCCTTAGTGTAAATGACAATGAAATAATATATTGAAATATTATCCTGTTTTGGTGGTTTTATTCATTTACTCAAGGTTTATAATAAGTTAATCCAAAGTTAATCATAAAAAAATTAATTAATAAAAATATTCAAGCAAAGATCTTTGGGAAGCAATAAAAACAGCTGCAAGTAATAACAAAATCAAAACAGAGAGAAAAATTAAAATCAAATCAATGAAAGAAAGACTGATAAAGGCTATAATGTCAAGAAACCAATATTAACATGTAATAGAATAATTTATTCAAATGTATAGAATATTTTGTTAATCAAATATATTTCTGGTTTACAGCCATATAACATTGAAACACTAGTTTCCACATGATCACCAGTTAAGCAATGTTGAGCTTGATCAGTAACTACAAGAGCAACCACTTGGGATAAAACAGGTACTGTAAGGTTGGATATGTGGGTGGTATAATGGATAATGGTTCGGAATTGTTAATTGGAGAGCTAAGTTCTAATTACTGTGGAGTTCATTATATTCCCTTTTCTACCTTTTCTAACCCCCAAGCTAAGGGTTAATTAGCAAGACTTGTATCCCTAAAGCATTATTACCTTGGCATAAATGTAACCTATCAACACATGTGCAAGGAAGAAGAATGAACAAAAAAAAAAAAAAAAAAAACATTTTAGAGAGTAGCTTAAAATTATTATAGAAGGGGAATAAGAATTTAAAATTAATGCTCTTATAAAAAGATGTTAATATTATTCTATTCAATACCTCTTTAACTATATAGTGAAAAAAATTAAGTATATTATGAATATATTTTATTCATTTTAGTAAATGTATTTGCATTGATAAATCCAGGGAAAAACAACTTTCCCATAGATGAAATGATCATCTGTATGAGGTAAATTGTTTGGATCTCATTAATTGTAATTCACACACAATTTCTACAGTTTATATACTTTTGGTCTTTTCTATAAATAAAAATGAATGTTGCATATTTTTGCATAATAAAACCAAATATCCCCAAAACTAATTATTATCAATATTCTTAATAATGATATGAGCTAAAAACTCATGACATTAAAATCCTGAAAATTTTACCAATGTAAGTTGGTTAATAGCAATTGTGAAAATTTAACTTGAATAATAAAATATGTGTGTGTACACATAGTTAAAAAAACAAAAAAAAAAAAACAAACTTAGAAATTAATGCACAAGGAAAAATTGAACCTCCATAAGTCACAGGTTTCAATGAATCAGAAGTTGATGAAAATGAAGGAAGTAAAATAAAGGTCAGTATATTTAAAAAGATAATTAGACTTGTATCTCAATGGAATAAACAACAAAAAGTTATCAGCTACAAGTCAGATGACTCAGTAGAAAGGACAGCAAAGATTATATGCACTTGCCAAACAAAGTGGCCTGACAATATGACCTAATAAATAACCTTTCTTATCTATTACGTAAAAGAAAATATAACATATTCCCCAGTGTATTAAAAAAATGTTAGCAAATTCAGATACAGTGAAGTATTTTGCATGTGAGAATTAAAATCAGAAGCAAAGAAAATATGTAGAACAGGGGTTGGTACACTCCTGCCTGGCCCACAAAGGATTTTATCCAGCCCACTAGCTTAATATCTGGATACTAATTATGTAATTAATTTGTGGAGCAAGTTGCAGAAAAAAATATCATTTACAGTTAATCGACTTACAATGCAACAATTTAAAAAAAAAAAAAAAAAAAAAAAAAAAAATCAAAATTTCATTCCAAATCCACTTCTACAAGAAATGTTTTGACAAGTAGAAAGCAGAAAAGCCTATTGAATAATATGAAAATGATGATATCATTATTTGGAAGTACATATGCTTGTGAACAACTTTTTTTCAAAATTGAAGTTTATTAAAAGTCATTTAAGAACAAGGTTGGGTGATGACCACCTGGATGATGTTTTGCTCTTGTCATTGACAAATATTTCACCTGATGTCAAAAAGTTATCAAACAATAAGCAGAAACAAGTGTCTCATAAAATGTTTTTTAATACTATTATGAATTGAGATTTTCACATTGTTGAAGCAACTGAATTCTACCAAGTAGATTTGATGAACATACTTCTAAATTTAAAGGGTTTTGGTATTCCCTTTGCATGACCACACAAAAAGAAAAAAAATGTTGTGCAGTAAAATTTTAATACTTCTCATATATTTTGAAAGTTTCAGACAAAGAAAAAAGGTTCAACAATAAAACTATGTGATCAAATAAGCATTCATCAGGTTGCTCTGTCAATTTGACATTTGATTGTAGGGTTATATAAAAGATTATTATGTATAGGATTTGGTGAATAAATTGTCACCAGGTTGTCTACCAGCCATAAAAAGCCATGAAGAAAAAAAAAATAGAATATTGGTAGAGATGAGAATAAAAAGACAGTCAAGTATTTATCCGATACTAGAAAGGGAAGTTACCTTCCTCATTTTTCAGGATATTTGATGTGTGAGCAGGAGATTAAGGATGATGACATGATAGTCTACAAATATCTACACAATTGTGGTTTTCATATAGAATAATTCCATATTTAAAAAAAAAAAAAAAAAAAAAAAAAAAAAATCAATCTACTGAAAAGAAAAGCCTCGTCTTTCAATGTAACCAAATTAATATTGGATATTCTGCATAACAGAGAATGAGATTCTGTCACATTACTGTGTTACTATATTAATCAAATCAGACAGTGTCAAGTGATCAAAAAGAAACTTCTAAATGTAAAGGTACAATTGAGAAAATGTGCCATTAATAAAAATACACGTTGAAACTATAGACATAATTTTCCTCGAGATATAATTTAAGTGGAGATCAATGGAACAAGGAAAACCAACTGTATAGAAAATAGCTCTCACTTATTCTTTGGGCTAACCAAGAAAATGCATGGATGACAAGGTTAGGTGGTTGTAGATCTGTCTTTGTTTTTCTCTGTAGTCACTGGACTGGTACCCAAATAAATAGCATTTCTTCTTTGTCCTGTCAGATTTAGTCTGCCATTGATTAGTCTTATTTTGACCTCCTGCAAATCACAGAGAGAAAACAGTTTCCAGCATTATCTTTCCATGTTATACTTTATTTTCTAACATACCACATCTATTTGAAGTTATTTATTTTATGTGATTTTAGTATTTCTGATTGATAATTCATTCCATAGTCTCTGAGCCATATTTATTTTGGTTTTTATATTAATAAGTATTATCTTTATTTTATGTTTATCATTAATTTTGGCTCATATTTACTTTCATTACTTTAGTTTATCCTCCACAATGAGAAATCATGGAATGAAGTGATAGGTTTAATGCTAAATTTGATCTTCTGTGAGCCATAAGGCAGTTGTAGCTCAATTGATTAGTGTTGCTAATGTGTTCAACCAAGCTTCCCTTCAGTTAAAAGGAATGAAAATTCAAGTCTCACTGAAATCCTCTCACTTATTTCTGATATATACTGTCTACTCACTGTCAGACTTCTGACATAAGTAAAGTGTAGTAAAAAGCAATCAAGCAATTAAATTGAAATATCAAAATTAACACAATTGACAATATTTAAGCAAAAATAAAATGATAAAGAATTTATTGCATTGAATAATATTTTGAAATAGGATTCTACTTTTTGTTAGTGACATTATCAATGGCATGTTATAACTGTGGCTTCATCACTTTCCAGATAATATTAGGTGTGCTGAAATGTCTGACTGACTCACTTCTCAAAATGTTCATAACCCAAATGACTCAACATCAAAAACTTTTAGAAGGAGTTTATGATTGGACTGATAACTTCTCAGTAATGCCTTGTATCATTCAATTCAATAACTTATTAATTACATTTTTACTACAGCAATAAATACAAATTATTTCTCTCTAAGGTAATTTTACTTTACATAGAAAATTTGTTTATTTCCAACAGATTTGAACAGTAACAATTTGGAAAATATTGAGAAAAACACTTGAAGAAGCCTGAGTGATCAGCAAGGTTTTTAATGAAATCGATGCTGAACAAATTATGCCAAATTAGGTATCTGCAGTTTTTGTCCAAGTTATCTAAATTCAAATGCAGAAATTATTGTATTAAAAGATCAAAAAAAATGAGAAAAGGTGTTTGAGCTCAGTTTTTATGTCTGGATGAGTTGCATAAAAAAAAAAAAAAAAAAACCAAAACATGCTCCAACAAACACTTTAAATTTAATTTTCAGAATAGGTAAACATTTTTGTTGACGAAATCAGAATGAACTGCATTCCTTGCAAAAAATAATGGTGTTGAACTGTTGAAAATAGAAAAAATTATGATGGGGGAAACTAATTTCTATTTATAAACAGTAAAAATGATAAAATCTTTTGGAAGTCACAATTGGCGATCAAGGTCTTACTTAGCAGAATTTTTAAGTAATTGAATTTTACCTGGACACCAACCCCACTAGATACACACCAGCAACATATTTTTATTTGCAAGTAAACCATTTTGTTTATTATTAGAATTTAAATACCAGCTTAGTATGAACCAATTTCAAAAAGAAACAAAGTAGAATTCATTTAATAGCCAAATCCTATTCTCAAAAATAAATGGTATGAAGGCCAGATTTTCATGGACAATTCATTGTTTTTAACAGCAGATATTTATAAGTTTATTTACTGAAAAAATGCCTAGGTAAGAGAGTGAAAAAGAGAAATAAAAAAACTAAGGGAAAAAGAGAAAAGGATAAGGAAAACGTAAAGAGAGAATGAGAAACCAAAAAGCATAGCGAGGTAAAGAAAAATAAAAAAATGCAAGGAGTGGGAAGGTGAAGCAAAAAAAAGAAAAAAAAAAGAAACAGAGAGTGGAAAGGAGAAGCAAAAAAAAAAAAAAAAAAAAAAAAAAAAAAAGTGGGTGGGCAAAGCCAAAAAAAAAAAAAAAAAAAAAAAAAAAGTGGTAAGAAAGGCAGATCGCAGACAAGAACGAAAGCCAAAAAAACTAAATAGTGTCAACAACTGTCAAGGAAACAAAGCAGGTATCGCCACGAATTTCTTAAATAACCCTGAAAATAAATAATTTAAAATGTTTTCTTTGAAGTTAAATTTTGGTTTCATTTTTGAAAGATAACATTCTATTAAAACAAAAATCAATTTTCGTATGTAAATATTTTTTTAGGCATTTTTAAAACACTTGGCACATTCACTAGTCTCATAAAACGCCACGAAAACGAAAAATATAAACAACAAATTTAAAAATCTTAAAAATCCAATAGCGAATTACTAAGCCTAAACTTAAGCACAAGGCCGAAGTATGAAGCATGAAGTAAGGATCGAACTCATTATTATTCAGTTGAACCATCGAGGTAAGCTTGCTAACCATCACACCTTATCGAATACGTTTCGAAGTCATTTAGTAAATTTAAAGATTAATTAACTGGATTTTGTAAACGTAAATGAGTAATGCTTACTTTTGGGGGCTTAAAAGAATGAAAATACCATTTGGCGTTTATTTATGCACTGGAAGGTCAAAGGTGAATTAACTGTAACAACAATCCACTCTCAAAAAGAGAGCGATTTTTTTTCCCCCAAATTAAAATTACAGAATACCATCAGTGCAATAATCAAGAAATTAAGGTATTTATGATTAAAAATAAATTATAAACTTATATAATCAATACTAATATATTTCTTTATTCTTTTTTATTTTTCTACAAGTTTATTTTTTTTAGTTAAAAAAAAAAAAAAAAAAAAAGGTATACTTTTGTTCGCGTCTAATATATTGTTTTATTTTTTACCTACTTGATGTCATAAAATATTTATCTGCATCCAATGTAATTTTTTTTTATATTCTGAATTTCAGAGTTGAATTATTTATTATAATCAATACTTTTCCATTAGGGAAAAGTATTCAATCAAAGGCGGTAATTTCCTTTTTGAACATCCATGCAAAAAAAATTTAATAGTTGCTTAAATAAAAATTCTTTTAAAAGAACGATCACAATATAAAATGGCATTTACATTTTTCGATTCTTCAGGTCTTAAAAAAATATGAACAACAAACTAGATGAATTTCAAAATCGCACTGAAAAAGTACAAGTAAATTTTAAATAATAAAGTTATTTTTTCTGTTCTTCTGAAATACAAATACTGTTTTTATGCCACCACCAATTCTCAGAAAAATTTATTTGAGTTTTTATTGAATTATTTGTTTTGTAAGGTTCAAGACGAATTTTCCGTATGTTCACACTTAAACTTTGTTAATGAAATAATTTATCTTCAAGAATTTTGCTTTAGTCTCTAGTCTTTTAACGAAAATTTAAAACATCCCCCCGCAAAAAGGGGGTGGAGGCTATAATTAACACTACTACCCATTTAGTTTTCTTCCACAATGTTTTCTGAAATAAACAAACAATTCATTAATAACAAATAATGAAAAATATTTCCACAATGTTTCTAAAAATTACCTACATTATAATTCCTTGATGAATAAGTAGTGAATTCCTTGATGAATAAGTTTGAATAATCCCTTGATTTTTTTTGGGGGGGGGGCAATCAAGGAAAAATAAAAAAAACAACACAATATTGAATTTCTTATTCAACTTTATTAAGGGAACGAGAAAACCTTTTTTTTTTTCTTTTTTTATCCAACTTCGATTATAAACGAAAGCATTTTTTTGTGTGTGAAATTGGACCCGAGTTACAAATCTACTACTATTTGGAATTTTTTTATTTTTTTTTATTTAATTTATTAATAGAAAAGTGATTTTTTTTTCTTAACGGTTGGGTTTTAGGATCAGTAAATTAAATGAAAACAGCTCGAAATTTTTTATGTAATTAAATTGTGCAGAAACAAAAAAACTAATGCAGGGTTTAAAAAGGTTTTAAAAATTGAATCCACTTTTACTTACACACAGTCTCATTCTTATCTACGTCTCTAAGTGAATGACATTTCCAATTCAAAATAACGATAGGGGTTTTGCGTTTGACTAATTTAGTTACATAAAAAAGAAAGTGAATAAATACACAATTTTTTTTTAAATTCTTAATGTAATAAAAAAAATGCATTATTTTTTTCAATGAAAAAACAAAAAAAACAAAAATGAAAGATTTTATTTTATCCTTCCAGTCAAATATTTTCCAAGATTGCAATGATTAAAAAAAAGAAAAACAAATTTGCGTTTTTTTTTTCATTCTTAGAGAAAAAAAGTAATTACAATGTTTGAGAAGTTTTGAAGCTCATTTTTGCGAAACGGAAAAAATTTTTAAAAATGAATTTCTTACTTCAAAATTTATTTTATAGATCAAAATATCAATAACTCAAACAATATTTAAATTCGATTTGTATTTTGTTTTTTACTTATTCAATTTTAACTGAAAAAAGAGAAAGCGTAGAAATTTTTTTTCATTAGTATTTTTATGCACAAAAGCGTCTCATTCATTTTTTAACGATAAAATATTTACTTCTTTTCTTTAAATAAACTCAATGAATAAGTAAGCAAATAAATCCATAAATAAAACAAATCTAGTAAAAAAGATGAACTTTTTTTTTTACCTCTGGAAACAGTAACAAACTTGAAAACGAAAGAAAAATATCAAGTTTGCGTTAAATACTTACCTCCAATTATAAAAAGCACTAATGCAACAGTTGGGTATATTTTGAACTTAAAATTCGTAAAGCAGAAAGCCTAAGGCAACAGATTACAAATAATCACTTCTGCTTGCGAACGTCTGTGAATTACAAGAAAACAAACATGTCAAACTCTTCAGCAAGAATGACGATTACGTCATCGGTCACGTGGAAAGATTCAAATATAAACAATACGAAATAAACATTAAAAATTAAACTACCATTTTCAAAATGCCTAAAAACATGAAATTTAGCTGAATGATAAGAAAGTAAACACAACAAAACTCTTCTTATAAATACTGGAAAGGTAGATCGACTTTATTGGATCAGTAGACCACAATGAATGAAGCAAAGAGTAGAGTAGTTATTGATTTTCACTTTTCATTTTTTATTGATTTTCTTGATAATTTTTTTATCCCATTAAAAATTTGCTCAAATCAAATTTCATGACTATGACAATTAAATTAAGGTTAAACTTTGTGATTTAGAGATAATGGTTAAAAATAATCGCATCTTTAAATACGTCATAATTATTTTTCTTTCTCTAGCTCTTATCGCCAGGAAACAAATTCCATTGACAAAGTGCTTTTTTATTTATATTTGCTCTAATGATGAAATTGAAATATAACTTAAATAATTATCTGATAATTTTTTATCACACACACACACATATCATTTTTTGACATTGCAAAATAACAAATTAACTAACTGAACTCGGACATTCCACGGGTGTTGACACAGTATCCGTTTAAAATAAATGTCTCTGCTTCTTTTCTCTCAACAATCCTTTCTCCCCATTCTTTACTTTATTCAATTGCTTCCAATCTCCGTTGTTCATAAAGTAAAGTGTCATATGCGAAAAAAAAAAAAAGGATTACAAAATTATTTTCTACAACAATACATCCTTTCTTTCTTTTTTTTTTTTTTTTTTTTTTTGTTCTATCACGGTTCACGGTGCTTTTATTATCGCAATTTTAACACCCTTCCTTGCTTTTCATGCGTTTCTTTATAGCCAGCCAGAAACTTGGTTCCTCTGCCTTTCTTTCCTTTTCATTTCTTCCCCATCTCTTTATCGTTTTTTTTTTCATCTAGTTTTCTTTTCGTTTTTCTCTAACTTTCTGCTTTTCCACCTTCATTCATGTCTCCCCTCTTTATTTATCGTATTTATCCTCTCCCCCGCTTCCTCTTAATTTACCAATTCCTTCTTACTGTTCTCGGTTTGAAGTTGTAGACAATTGATTCTAGCTGAGACCAGGTACTACACTCTGATAACTGATTTTAGGTAGAATAACGTAACAGCCAAGGTGTTCACAAGGTGTTTTCAACTTTTCATAAATTAATTAACCTATGAAATAGAAAACTTGCTAGTCTCTTCACTTTCTTAAGTTGTTTTAGGAGGAAGATTTTTTTACCTTTTAAATCAAATTATAGATTACAATACAGAAAATTAGATTTTCATTCTGAATTATGAAAATAAGAATTTAATTCAGTGAAGAATACCTACATAATTAATTATTCTAGTGAATAACTTTCTCTCTCCAGTTACTAACTTTCTCTCTCCTCAAATTCAATAAGAATGATTTAACCATCGAGAATTTTTTTAGTCTATTTGTGAAAGAGACAAGGAAGAGAAAGACAATGATTCTAAAAATCTTTTCTTAATGGTCAAGAAGTCCTTCAATATTTTATGTACAATCACTCCTACTACTTATGACTGACATGTTTTGGTGCTTCTCACACTTTCTAAGTTTTTTCTCTTTTGGATACTACATATTGCTTTCCTTTTTATGTGATTCATCTTCCTTAATTTTGGAACTTACCAACAAGTTATAAAATGTGAAAAGGAATTTAATTATTTTGGTAACTTCAACGTTGTGATGGTTAGCCAGCTTGTCTTTCAAGATCAATTACGACTGAGTAGTGAGTTTGATTCTCACTGGGTGCTCCATGCTTTCGGCTTTGTGCCACATTTAAGCTGTGCTTAGTAAATCACTATTGATTGACTCATTGATCATTGAGTTAGAAAAGTGATTTTCTTTTCTTTAATTGGCTTCATAAAGTTATTTTTGGAGGTGTTATTAAATTTTACAGAATATAATTTTTTACAGAAATTAAAATATTTGAAGGGTCTGATCAATTTTTCTATAAGTTGTATTCATTTTTTATTATTTTCTATTATTTTTATGAAGCAAAATACTTTCTGTTTTTAGAGTATAGTTGGGCAATTTTAATGTTAATTTAAACACAGTGGCATAGCTAGAGAGAGTGCGTGTGTATGTGCTGCCCAGGTCAGAGTCTGTGCCAATCGAGACAGCAATTACATTATAAACAAAACTTTATATAAAAAAAGAAATGTAAAATTAAAAGACAATACAATAGGCCTAGATTTGTTTATTACACTTTCTTTTGAAGGGAGTGTTTAAAATAACATTTAAAAGAAGAAACTTACTAACATCTGTTCTTTAAATAAAAAATTAATAAAATGAGGCAAGATAGTTAATAAAAAATGGCATGAATAAAATTTGATGTGTAAAATTTTGTATATGTGAGGATCAAATTGATGTTATAAAAGAAGCACCAAAATGAAGCCTGATGAATTATAAAAAAAGACACATGTATAAAATTTGGTTTTCCAAAAATAGTAAGAGAAGTGGTATTTGTGTTCACGTTGGGAGGTCACTAGTATAGTTAGGTTTTAGTAGTATTTTCTTTACTGGAAACTTTGGAATAAAACGAACTGACTCAAGGGTTTAAAATAAATAATATATTTTTATTTATTTTCTTTAGAGTGATGAGGTATTTAGTGTAGCAAAATGTTCATTTATAAGGCAGATATTGGTAGCAGTCTGGAGAAAGGTCCAGTAGTTTGGAGACAGATCATGATAGTGGTTGCAGTAATATTAGAAATAGGTCAGTGTCAGTCTACTGTGTTTTTCTCGGCCTCAAAAGGAGAAGTTTCGGCATTTTGTCGGGGTTCAGTCTTTTCTTCTTCCTCTTTTTATTTGAGGGTTGCTTTTTCGTTAGTTGAGAGAGAAGTATAGAAAAAGATGTTTACAGAGAGAGAAAGAGATAAGGGTTTTAAAGTGAAGCATAAATGCTTTATTTTAATTTGAATTCTTTTTATGCTTTATTTTAATTTGAACTCTATTCTGCAGGGCAGAAATATCATTAGCAGATGACCTCTGAACTGCATCATTCTTTACATAGTAGCATCTCCATTCTTCCTCTCGCTATCACAGGTTTCTAGCTGAGAGGTGTCAGTTTATGTAAGTTTTGACCAGGTTTTCATATTCTGGCCAGAACATTGGTTTCAGCTAGCATCAAAAGTCACTTTGTGTTCATTTTTTTGATTAGTCAAAATTATTTTATTTTCCTGCATTACTTTCTTTTTTATTCTTTTTATAATGGAAGTTATGCATGGAGCTTTTCTGATTTTTGTTTTTATTCTGTCACAAATAAGTAGGCTCTGCTCCTGCAAACTTCAGGTGTTTTGACCAGAGTCAGTTTTTCTTCTTCTTCCTTTATTATTTGAAGGTTACCCATTCACTTATGTGCTTATGCCCTTGGGAAAGGTATGAATCCATCTCTTCTCCTCCCAGCTATGGGTAAATAGCAGGACAGACCAGGTTCTATAGCTTTGGATGGCAACTGGTCTACTGCAGAAAGAAATGGCAACCTACTTTGGGAAAAAAGTCAGTCATGTATCGATACATGATTGCCTAAGCATGTATCACGCATGGCACATAACTGACTGACTGACTTCTCATTAGTTGAGAGAAAAAGAAAGAGATAAAGGTTTTAAAGGAAAGTGCAAATACTTTATTTTAATTTAAATTCTTTTTATTTTTGTTTATATATGTTATTTTTATATTTTATTTATATCAGGACTCACTACAAAGTATTATGGTCTCAAAACCTACCTAAATAAAATATGTAAGTAGGCATAATTTAAAGAAATACAATGGGGAAAGTTATGAACCCATAGTATTAACTTTCTGATTCAATTTAGAGCCAATTTGTGGCTTTTTAAGAAATCTAACTTGTCAGACAGGCAGAAGGATCCCAGTATTCAAAAGGAAGATGTCAGCTGGTTCCGGGATCTGAACAAAAGAGAAACTAATGACAATGACTATGATGATGATGAAAAGAAAGAAGCTGAAAGAAAAAGAAAAGGAAGTAACAGAAGAAAAAAAAAATAAAAACAGAAAAGAGAAAATTCTACATATTCAGAAAGATATATGACTGTCTTTCTATTATTGTCTGTGAATGTGTGTCACAAAATTAAATGTATTAACTCTGATATTAAACTTTTTATGAAAATACAATATTTTGTCTCATCTCAGTTTGTAAATTTGAATTATTTTTTAAAAAAACTAGAAACCCAGTGACAACTGTGAATTATCAAGTTCTTTTGACAACTGAATGAATCAAAGTTAGTGAACATTTTGTCAATAATAATTATAATTGTTTTATGAGACCAAAAGAATCATAATTAGAACTTGTTATATAACCTAAGTATTAAGCTTACAAAAGAAAATTTTGTGCAAGCTTGTTTTGTAAATTTCATATTCTATGCTATAATAATTATTTATGTCACTTAATAAATGCTTTAAAAATTTAACACCAAAATAAGAGCCTTGTGTCTTTTGTTTGTGCCTTTCATAATAATTGGGATAAGAGATTTGACATTCTTTCTTCAACTCTCCACCACAAATCCTTTTCCAAACAATTACATAATGGTATTTATTTCAAATGATAAAATATTTATAAATGCTTTACAGACAGAAAAATATATTGGAGTAAATAACAGTCATTGCTTCAGTGTTACCCATCATATGACAATGTTCTAAAAATAATGAAAACAATTTAAGAACAATAAGAAGAATTTAAGAACAATATCAGAACAATTTAAGAAAAATTTCAGAGAAATTAGAACAATTTAAGAATAATAAGATCAATAAGAACATTTTAAGAACAATAAGCAAAATTTGGGAAACATTTAATAAATGAGAACAATTTAAGAAAAATAGGAACAATTTAAGGACAAGAAGCACAATTTAAGAAAAATTTAAAAACAATTTAAGAAAAATAAGAAAAATCTAAGAACAGTATGCACAATTTTAGAACAATAAGGACAATCTAAGAACAATAAGCAAAATTTAAGAACAATAAGAACAATCTAAAAACAGTATGCAAAATTAAAGAACAATCTAAGAACAGTATGCACAATTTCAGAACAATAAGCACAATTTAAGAACAATAAGAACAATCTAAGAGCAGTATTCACAATCTAAGAACAATGAGAAAAATTTAAGAACAATAAGCACAATTTATGACCAATAAGTAAAATCTAAGAAAAGTACGCACAATTTAAGAACAATAAGAACAATCTAAGAACAGAACGCGCAATTTAAGAATGATAAGAACAACTTAAGTAGAATAAGCACAATTTAAGAAGAATAAGAACAATCAAAGAACTCTACACACAATTTAGGAACAATAAACAAAATTTAAGAACAATAAGCACAATTTAAGAAAATTAATAAATAATATAAGACCAGTAAGCACAATTGAAGAACAATAAGCACAATTAAAGAACAATAAGAAAAATCCAAGAACAGTATGCACAATTTAAGAACAATAAGCAAAATTTAATAACAATACAAACAATCTAAGAACAGTATGCACAATTTAAGAAAAATAAGCAAAATTTAAGAACAAT